AAAAAATATTCTAGAATTGCTTGTTCAGGGTCTATAAAGGAAGTTGTTAATATGCTCCATCAAAGTGATAGTAAAGAACTTTGACATCAAATAGGACTGGCAATAGCAAGTTGCAAGTACTGTTTAGCAATGTTGGGTGCTAGAAGCTGCAGCAAAGCCTGGCAGCCATCAGTGGGGCTATCACTGGCCTGTCCAGATGGTTTGTAGTTACCCCTCTAAATGGAGATGACTGCAGCACAAGCATTTTCCAAATTCAACAAGAGAGAGAACAGCTGGTGTCTGTGGGTTCTACTGGCAGTCTGTCTTCTAAGAGAAATCAGCACCATCAACAGAACAGGAAGACTAAATGAAATAACTTTCATCAGAGATCTTCTATACCCAAATAATCTCACTTTACATAATAGGAAACAGAAAAAAAGTTCTTCAGTCAAAAGCTGGTTCCACAGGATGATATCAATGAGCACTGAGATAGATCGAGTGTTCGTGGAAAACACTGAGAACTTTCTTGTCCTCCACATACCTCAGGAAATACTGTATAGTAGAAGTAGATATACTGCTTATTCTATCCAAGGACTGAACATTCACCTTTTTAAACATGATTAATTCAGGATTAAGCTTAACCATGTATTCTATGAAGCAAATTTCAATCTTTTGGGCACCAAGGGGAAGGAAAGTGGAGACCTTGCCAAATTGTTCAGTATCCACACAATGATTTACTTCAAGGGATAAAAGCCCCAAAACACTGTGGTTTATATGGCGAGATATATCATGGCCTTAATATGTCAATCTGAGGAGGACAGTAAGTAAATTCCTGGAATTAACTTCAACTTGAATTAATAACTCTTCATACTAACAGAATCCTGAAAAGCATACAAGAAGTAATAGAGCATTTATACGCCTTTTTCAAAAGGGAAAAATGACACACTCTACTTTTCCTCCCTGAAAAGTAATACCAAAGGTAATATAAAATTTAACATAAAACCAGCAGTAGTATGGCTTTATTTAAAAAAATCTGGAAAACTACAGTCAACATACAAGTATCCCATAGCATAATCCAACATGAAAACATTGTATGCACACTGAACCCATGGAAAGGGAAAATATTTTACTCTTTGCTCCCACAGAAAACAACAAGTGCGGAGGACTGGCTTTTCTGCCTGCTTCTCTGGTTAGGACATGCATTTACAATAAATCAGGATAAGTAAGTCTTCTCCTCATACAATAACACAACTAATTCACATATTTTCAAAGTATATATATAAAGTATTCAACATGCTGTTTTTATTTCAACCCACTGATCTATGCTAACACAAAGCAGAAATAACCTTGAAAAACTTTCAGTTTTACCCCTGAAATAAATGCCATACCCTTTAGCATCACTTGCTGCAATAGTGATCTGTGCAGAGTGCCACTCTCTCAGGTGTTTCAGGGCACCAATAGCAGGTAAGCAGTCCTTTAACTTGGGTCCATCACATTCAACAGCCTGCAGGATTACATCAACCATTGCTCTGCCTATAAAATAGTTGTGTATTACTTAAACATCATGATTCAGTAAATTTTTCAGTCATTTAAAAATAGAATAGTATTGGTTATCATTGATTGCATTAAAACCAGCAAAAAAGATCAAGTAACTTCAAGATTTAAAACACTTTTCACACATTTTAGCTTATTTCTTGCTGCTCCTCTTAGATGAACACTATTCCCACTGTGACAGTGGCTCTGTCCCTTTCTCCTCTCTCACTCAACACTGCTAGATGAGATTTGTCTCTTGTACAACTAAGCTATGTTATTCTCCTACCTTTAACACTCTAAGCTGCTATTTTTCATTCTTCTTGAGTTCCTTTGTTATCCCAAATCAACTTCTCCAATATTATATAACCCTAACATGCAAGGTGGTATGTAGCTCCAGTTTACAAAATCCCAGTCCAACAGTTGTGATGTATTTTCCTTCTCATCTTCTTCACTCACAAGCAAGCACCTGTCAAATCATATGTAATTGTAACCTGATATCAACATCTTCCTTTTTTCAAATAAGAAATTTCCTGTGTTGAGTTTTGTATTGCTTACTGTCTATGATTACTTTGGTGTCATTTCAGATGGACAAATTTATTATATAAATAGCTATTTTAAACTCTACTGAACTACAGCCTACCAAAGAAACAAGCAGCAAACTAGTCCTCAAGCTGACCTGCAATGCCAACCATGCTCAAGTTCCTAAACTACCTTCAAGAGCTACATTAAGTTAATTCAACTACCAAATTAATGTTCTCTGAACTTTTCCATTCACTATGCTTCTACCAGATGAGTTTTTAGATCAGTAACTAACAAGACAAACTCCAATGAGATTGGTTTTTAAGGACAGATTACCTGGAGCAGGCAATTTATCAGCTAATTGATGCAGACTTTCAGCAGCTTCATCATAGATACTAAAAATGAAGAACAAAAAGTTACAACTAATGAATGGTACCTGATACATCTTACATCTTTAAAACTCTGCACAAACATACCTAGGCTATGAGAAATCATCTCTTTTACTACGACAGAAGTAGGCCTAATGACATAAAAATAATCTGAAGTAAAACTGGAAGTAGGATTCAAGAGGAATTAGCAAGAAATTTTAGTATATATAATGTTAGCTGTTAGGAAACTGTTCTGTTATCCTATAAAAATCCTCTGTAAAAAAATTAAAGCTATGCTAAACAGAATAAAAGTATTCTCTGTACTAGTAGGGGATTGTTCATAGTTAACTCTTGCTTTGGTAGTAACTCTCACTTGTTAAAATTTCTTGATCCCCTTGGGTCATCCCCAGATGTCAGAACACTGTTAGATGTCAGATCATTGTCCTTTAAATAAAAATAACCAAAAACATACTCAGTCAGAGACAGTGATTCCTGACTGTTACTGTCATCTTCCTCAAAATTTTGTGTGGTTCCCAGGGTCTCGTCAATACTTGCTTGGAAAGAGTCTTCACTTTTCTGTGTGTCAACACTTATTTCCTCCCAGTCAGAACTGCAGAACTAATCAAACAAAAATATTTGAATGAGCAAAAAGAGTTTTGAACATCACAGTTTTAGCTTGTACTACAGTCAGGCAGATGGTTGAGGAACTTATACTCTAAAAAAGTTTGTCTTACCTGATAATAACCACAAATGACATGACTTGCAAAATACCACTTCTTTGCACCTGGAATACCAGCCACTGAGCAAGCTGCAAAGAGATAAAACAATTAATTAAATTAATCAATTCACTACAATCTATTCTTCCTATTATAATGAACATCTCTGTTAAAAAACTCCGAGTCATTTAATGTACAACGATTAATTGAGTTCTACTTTCCTTTGGCACCATAATTAAGCTCTAAACATATTAAGGTGTAGGTAAGTGTCTTGGCAAGTGTCTATTACTGACCCTGTGACTATTAGTAAGTAAGAAAACATTTGAGCTCTTCTCTGTTCTGGGTGATATTGATTTCTCTTTGCACGATCTGTATCAGACCTGAACTAAGCAACACCTTTCATAAATATGATTTAGAGTTCACAAAATGAGATGCTCTATCAACATTTATATGCAATACAAAGCACAGAACTCTCAGCTCCATGAATTTTAAGAGATTATAGTGGTTTTCCCCACATAAATCCCAATTACATGACATCTGTGACAAGATGAGCTTATAACAATAGCTATCCAAACCAAGTAACGAATTAAAAAGCATCTTTTGGATTAAAAAAATCCCAAAACAACAAGCAAGCAGCCCCTAAACGTACTAAAGCAGATCTTAAGACATCTCTTCTAAAGTGAAAAAATGATTTAATATTTATGGATTAAGGTTCTGAATTGTTACCCAACAAACAACTATTGTTTCTACTGAAAATATCAGAAGACATTATAGAAGTAATTAAAATATCATGCTTCCCAGTGACTTGAGAAACAAGCCATTTCCTACTCTTCCTTGCTCAACTGGACTGAAATTTGTCAACTCTTCAAAACCCTTCCCCTTCATTTCTCACAACCAATCAATCTAATAATCTCCTAACACCTTAGCTGCTGAAATGATGTCAGTTTCTCCACAGAAACAGGAGCAGCAGGAACAGGCCCACACCACAGCAATGGAGTTCACTTAAATTTCTGACTTGTTTCCCCTAAGAGAACATGCATAGGCTAATTCCTTGAGAGCATTTACCCTACCTCACCGTGCATTGCCATGTTTACCTGGGAATATGCTAACATCTGCATTTATAGATGCATTACAGCTTTCTTTCAGGAACTGATACATGTGTGCAGCAGTCCCAGCTAGGAAAAAAAAAAAAATCAAAATTACTGAATTACGTAAGTTAAATCTCACTTTCTTGCAAATACAGTATAAAGTTCAGTGTGATATTGGAAAGTGAATTTAGGGGAGAAGGGGGAAAGGGCTTAGTTGGGGTTTTTAACAGAACTACCACCTGCAGACATGCAGTTTAAAAAGACAAATTTTCCTAAGTTCTCCTTTAAGTCACGCTCAGGAACACATTGCGGAGTTACGTAGCATCATCGCAATAAAGCAGGAACCCCCCTGAAGTTTATACGGGTTAAAGGCACCAAAGGCTCAGCCTGAAAGCAAAGGGGTGTTTAGGGAGGCAGGAACCAGAACCGCGCCCGCCCGGCCCGGCCCGGGGCTCACGGCGGCGTCCTCCGCGGTGCCTGCGGCCCCGGCCCCGGCCCCGGCGGTACCTGCGGCCCCGGCCCCGGCCCCGGCTCCGTCCCCGGCGGTACCTGCGGCCCCGGCCCCGGCCCCGGCTCCATGTCCGGCGGTACCTGCGGCCCCAGCCCCGGCTCCGGCTCCGTCTCCGGCGGTGCCTGCGGCCCCGGCTCCGGCTCCGTCCCCGGCGGTGCCTGCGGCCCCGGCCCCAGCGGTCGCTGCGGCGGGCCCGGCCTCGGCCCTGCGCCCGCCCCAGCTCAGGAGCAGCACGTAGCGCTCCATGGCCCGCGGCGGGCGCCGCTCCGAAGGGCCCGCGCTGCCGCCCGGCACCGCCCTCCGCAGGGCAGCGCTTCCGCTTCCCGCGGCCCCGGCATGGCGAGCTACAGCAGGGCGGCCCAGGTGAGCGCGGCCTCCCCCGCGGCCGTGCGCTGCCTCCGGGACAGGGCCCGGGGCCGGGGGGAGCGGGCGGGCACGGAGGGTCCGCGGGGGAGCGCCCCGGGGCTGCCCCGGTGCCCGGCCGGGGGAGCCGCTGCAGGATCCGCTGCGGGATCCGCTGCAAGATCCGCTGCGGGATCCGCTGCGGGAGCCGCTGCGGGATCCGCTGCGGGATCCGCTGCGGGATCCGCTGCGGGAACCGCTACAGGATCCGATGCGGGAGCCGCTGCGGGAACCGCTGCCGGAGCCGCTGCGGGATCCGCTGCGGAAGCCGCTGCGGGATCCGCTGCAAGATCCGCTGCGGGATCCGCTGCAGGATCCGCTGCAGGAACCGCTACGGGATCCGCTGCGGGAACCGCTACAGGATCCGCTGCGGGATCCGCTGCGTGCGGCGTGTGCGGGCCGGCACAGCCGCGGCCCGGGCTGAGCGCTGCGTGTGGGGAGCTGCGCCCTTCGCCGGGAGGGAAGGGCACCTTGGGCGTTCAGTATCCTGCAGCGATGTTACGATTCTGAAACATAAATTTTAAGGAATTTAGAGATTTTAGAGGAGCTAAGATTTTAGTTAGAGATAAGCCTTACTAGAGTTAATTAAAATAAATGAGTAGGCCTCGATGCAGTTAACAGTTAGTAGTTAACTATTAATTGATTGCTTGTCAACACAACGTTTAGTTGGCTGGGTGTATAATGAAGAATATAAAAACTGACAAATAGATTTTAGGAATACAAGACAATTGTGTGCCTCCTCTGTTCTGAAACCAATTGAAGACAAGGAATGGGAGTGTTACCAAGAGTTCATTTGTTATATTTGCATTAAAAAGGTAGAAGGGTCAGAACGAGGAAGACTTCATTTAGTTCCTCATATTGAGACCCATCCCCATGAAAGGGACCACCGACCCATTTCAAGGAACAAACTACACATGCTTAATAGCTTTTGAAATTGGTAGCATACGAAGCGAGGAATGGGATGTACCAAAATTATGGATATGTATTTGTATTTTGGGTATTCAATGGGTAAAAGGGCTCTGTAATCACCTGGAAGGTGCAGTGTGTATTTGGGAGCTATCCCGCATGCTGCTCGGCGTCTACGAAACATGCACTTTCTAACTTTAAACTGTTAGAGAGTTTTTGTCCGCCAAGTTGGATATCGGTACTAGATCAATATCCATATTTTTAAATAAATCAATTCAAGTAGTGGTAATGGAAGCTTCCAGCAGAAGACCTACGTTTTTGGAACCAAGCCCTCAGGGCCGATAGCCTATCAGTGGTGTTACCCATGTACATCTCACTGTAGTGGGTGTATCACAGTGCTCTGTACATTTAAAGGTTATTTGAAGGGGTGCTGCATATCAGTATTCCTTCTGGTATTATTGAATGTAAAAGAAGTGTTATTTAATTGAGGAAGATAGATTACAGCAATATGAACTTTCCCTATGATAAGTACTGACTCTTCCTTTTCAGCAATGGGCTACTTTTGGTAGAGCTTGGTACCTCCTCGATGCAAAGATGCAACCCCCAGGAAAAATAGCAGCTGCCACTGTAATCAGGCTTGAAGGCAGACATAAGCCTATTTATCATGCACTAAGTGAGTATTACAATGGATGAAAGCAAACTTACTTTTCTTCAACATGCATGTTTCTTCCAATTTCAGTTTTAAAATCAAACCTGATATAAAACATTACTTTTCTCAATTGTTTATAAATTAAAAATTAATTTGTTTTCTTTCTTCTCCTTTTCCATCATATCTGTCCACAACCTGGTGTTATTTCTTTACCAGTACATATAAAGAATGTTATGAACTTGTAATTCATTTTGAGTAACTGAATTACAGTGCGTTAGTCTTTTATTTTATTTTAAAAACCTGAGAACATGTTTTGTTGGTCTTAAAGTAAAGATTTAGTTCACGGTGCACATAAAGAAACATCTGAGTGCTTCCTTTCAGTAGGTGCCCAGGACCACAGTCTTGGAGTGCTTCATTCTGAGTAAGGTGCCAAGCAGTCCAGTATTTATGAGGCAGTGGGCACAAACTGAAATCAGATAAGATATTTTTTACTTTGAGCATAATGGGAAGTCATTGCCTAAGAGGTGGTGAAGTCTCCATCTGTAGAGATTTTCAGAAGCTACTCCTGCTTTGGTCACTGGTTTAGAATATGTGACCTTCAAAGGCCCCTTCCTGCCTCACACATTCTGTGATGAGGAGGCTGGGACCTGTCCTTAAAGGGGTGACAATCATTGTTGAAAGGCATCTTATTTAAACAAAGCCATAATTTAGTCTTTCTGCTAATTAGAGATTCAGCTATAAAGATACTTCTGTAATCCTGTTCATTACCTGTAATGCTGAAACATGCCTGTTTCATGGAGATAAGCATTTTATAAATAATAAAAAGTTGATCTTTCACACCACTGGTACAATGTTTCCTGAAGTACCCATGCAAATTTTCCCAGAGACATTACTTAAAGGAAACCTTGAAGTTGGCTCATATATATTGAAGCATACATAGTAAAAATATACCAATCTATTTCACAAGAGGAGGTAGAATTTGTAGTGTTGTAAAGACCTTTAAATGTCAGTTCTGCTGTTGCAAATTTTGTTGTATCCACAAGGTGTCACTGGAGACTTAAGGTTGTCTTGAGAAATAAAGTGGATGCTGAGAGGAAAATGCTTTGGTGACCCTGTGCGAAAGAACTTTGATACTTTTATGTCTGTGAAGTTATAAAGTCTTGGGAAATATTTCAAGGATAACTTCATTTTGTTTAAAATGTTCTGTAAATCAGTACTAATTGCTTTACACATATTGACACTGACTGGTTGGTTACTGCTGCTGAGACATTTAGGAGAGAAAAGTATAGAAGAAATTGTGGTTTATGTACTTGATGCTTCTTTTGCAGTTCTTTTTTTTGAAATAACAGATATTTTAGTGTCTGCAAGATACCAGGTCCCTGGACAGAGTAATCTCAGGATGATTTATTTATTGTTTTGTTATTAATTTGGTTTTTGTGAATTCAGTGTTCCTACAAGTTGAAAACTGTTGGCAGAAATTTCCTTAAGATGAGCTCTTATCGTGTCATCTTCCCAGCCCAAACACCAAAAAGTCACAAAGTCCCAATAGTCCCTCAAAGTCCCTGGGAACTAACCCAGTGTCAGTTCCCTGATATTTATGAGGACATACAGTGTTTTTAGAGCTGAACTGTCAGCAGTGAAAGGCTGAAGCAATAAAGATGTGTAAATTACATTTGCACTTCAGCTGTAATTGAAAATGGCACATTAAAAGAATACAAGGTTAAAAAATAATAAAAAACTTAAGGTGTGAAACTTGCTTTGATTAATTACATGCTCCTATAAAAAATTCTTGGTCAATTTAAGCCCTGCTTTGTATACCTGTTTTGTTACCTACTCAAAAATGTTTTAATCAAGTGAGCCTCTTCAAATACTTGTGTTCTAATATGGTGATACAAATGAGGCTGAACTTTGGAGAAATCATTTTCACTCCAGATGAATTGGTGATTACAGCTGACCAAGATCATTAATTCTGAAATTAAAAACTGCATCTTTTCTCCTATTTATGTAATATTTTTGAGATAATAGAGGTTTTGTGAGCACTTTATTACTACGGAAGCCTTATATCCTGTTTCTGGCAGGGTGTTGGTAATAGATTATAAACCTTGCACTTAAAGAACTTATGATGTTAAAGTTGCTGATATAACTTTAAACATACATGTAGATGCTGTAACATTCGCTTCTGTTTGATAGATGAAAATGTGGAGTTTTTCCCAACAGAGCTGTAGGGAGTGGTGGTTTTTTCCCCCTGCCACTTCCCTCAATGCAATATATTTGTTTGTTCTATGTATTTAGCCTGAGAGTGTTACTACTTAATAGAAGTATTTTACTTACCCAAAATGTTCAGACCTTCAGTAAACACAGATACTGTTTTTATGAGAAAGTAAAATAAAAAATATTTAGGATCATTTGGAACTAACTTTTTTTTCTCCTGTTTTGTTTTTTTTTTTTGTTTTTTTTTATATATATGTGCATAGACAGCATAATGTGTTGAATATAATAGAATTGAAATTTGCCTGTAAGCCAGATTTCCAAATATTAGCTGAATATTTGCAATGGTTTAGTCATCTGGCTTGATGGTATTTTACCTGCTTACCTGCCTTCTAACCTGGTAGTACAAAAAATAGTAATTAAGTTTGGTATTTAAGTCCTAATTTGGATGGTGCAACTTGAAAAGCTCAAATTTTTAAATTTCAGTTTTATGGAAGGTGTATTTATATGCTACTATGTATATATTGCACACATAATAGTTGTTACTTTGATTGATTCCCTCTGTGGTTTTTTTTAATATCTTCCACTTACTTCTACCTTGCAGATGACTGTGGAGATCATGTTGTCATAATAAATACAAAGCATATTGCCTTCTCTGGTAACAAATGGGAACAGAAAGTATATTCTTCACATACTGGGTAAGCTTTATAGTAAATAAAGCTTGTGGTAATGAGCTTGTGGTAAATTTCATGTCATATTTTCTTAATAGTTGAAGTCTTCTTTAGCATATTGCTTTAAAAGAGAATTCCTGCTCTAACTTTTAGGGGATTTTTGTTTGTTTGTTTATTTGCATGTGTTATTATGTTTAAAATGGTGTAAACCTTTCTCCTCTCTTTTTCTTTTTTTTATTTTTGGTGGTTTTTTAAAGGGAAATCTAATTCAAAAGTAGTCAGAACAATTGAATAAGTTAACAGATTTGGTGAGTGAGGTTGTGTCTTGTGTTAATCTCTTGACCCAGTGATCTGGACTATTCTGTTTACTGTGTATTTATATATGTATATATATATATATATATATATATATAGTCACCAACTTGAATTACTTTATCCTACCAGGACCTATTTACCTAAGAGTAAGTATTGAATCAGAGGATGAAAAAAAATTAGAAAAACAATTAAAAAGTAATGTAAAATGTATTATTCTGGCAGACATAACTTGTTTACAGTGGAGAGTGGAATAATCAGCTACAGACAGGGTGTCCATGATCAGTTCAGTGCTCCTATTTTATGCAGTGATACTAATACATAATAATCTCTAAGTGTCACAATGTATCCTATTGAAAGATAAATAAATCACATTAATTTTGTAGTGCTAGTGCTGCAATCATGAAATTGCTGAAGCGCTGAGAAATTCACATTCAGAGGTGATGGAAATTATGTGCTTTTTTTTGTCTCCATCTCCCCTATGACCTGAACTTTTCTCTAAAAACTTAACATGTATGTTAAAGCACTTGCTTAAAGTACCTGAGTTGGTTTTGAATAAATAAGAACTGTATGCTTAAAACTAATACTTAGATCCATGCAGATCAGTGGAGATGTCTTCATGGTGTTCAGCCTATTTTCATTTCACTTAGGCTGATTCCTAATGTAATTCAATCAAAATGAAACCCAGCATTACCTGACTTCCATGTAATTCTTACTCCATGCTATTATTCATTTAAAGCTTATGCAGAGATCTGAATTAGTGCCGCTTCAACATGTCTTATAGGCTTTAGAAAGATGGATCCATTGTAGTAAAATTAAAATTTTATAAGTGTAGATACGCCAAGTCTTGCTAAGGTTTATTTAGAATAGCAAGAAAATAATAAATACAGTTCAAAATGGATGTATGTCTCTTACATCAGCTACAGACTGGTTGTGAGTCTTGATTATCTGGAACTATTTCAGAGTTCTGCATATCTTATTCCTGTTGTATTCTATAGCTGTTATGGTGTATTTAATAAGCAGTTTTAAAAACATATCCATCTACTTGTGAAGCACAAGGTTTTTTATACTCAAGTGAATAAATAAGAAAGCATAAATGGTGTTGAAATTAGATAGTTGACAGGATAAATAAAATACGAGTTTTGAGCTCATGAGAAGTACTTCCTTTTTTGAGGGCCTATAATAACATTGCACATTGTTCAAGATGCAGTGATACTTTTGTTAACATAATGCTTGAGCGTGTAGAATGACGCTTGTATGTTTGTTTCATTTTTTTAGTTATCCTGGTGGTTTCAAACAAGTGACAGCAACTCAGCTCCATTTGAAGGATCCAACTGCTGTAAGTGTTTTTCCCTTCTTCTCTTTCATTTGTGAAACTAGTTGGTTTCCAATTAATTAGTTCTCCTAAATAAATGGGATCAATTACCTGCATCTCTAAAGCTAAATTACAAACATAATACTAGTGGTTTGTAGAAGCTTGCCTTGTGACAGCATTTTTGTAAACAATGTTTTCAGGGTTAGATTGTAAGTTGTGTATTTTTGTCATTCTTCCATTCTGTCCAAAGGAGCAAATCAAACTTGTTTGCTTCACTGATTTTTCACTTATTTTCTTCCTTTTAGTTTCAAGGGTCTGACCTTTCTCATAAGTGAACTGCCTCCAGTTTGAGTGAGCTAAGCTGTATTTGAGCTTAATGACCCTACTGCTTTTTTAAGTTTTAAGAGTCAGCAAGAATAATGCTAATCTTAAAAAAGTGCATCTGCCTTATTCCCAGTGAAATTCAATGGTAGGTTTTAAGTGATGATGGTTTTTTAAATCTTTTCTGCAATACTGTGTGTTCATGGTCTGCAAAAGAAATGGAAATTATGATTATGTTGAACATAAGCCTGTTTACTCTGTGTTAGACTGTTGTATATTCTGAAATGCAGTTTTCATGTGTTTGTACTGATTAAAAAATAGGGATGCAGATATGAACATTTTGACTTACACAGTTATGAAGTAACTTCTACTAGAGGTTTGAATAGACATCATTGGAGGACTGAATTCTACAAGTACTAATGTTCCAGAGCATGATGCAAGACCTACAGAGATTAATAGATATTTATGTTCAGTTTTGACTTCAAAATGCTTTAATTTGGGTCACTTTATGTATAAAATATTGAAGTGTTTCTTCCTTTAGCTAGAGAAATCTTGTCTGCTGTAAAATTTATGGGTTTTTTCAATTATTTGGAAATCCTGGTTTGTCCCAAGTCTGCCTTCTATAAGTGCAAGTACTCAATGAAAAAGTGGTCCACCATATGAATTTGCCTGGTTTCTGGTTTTACTGTCGCAACTTCTTTAAATGAAATTAAACTAAATCCTACCTTTCCATATAATGTTCTGTCTAGAATTTTGAAAATGCTTTTGCAAACAGCCTCTAAGATAGTTGCAATTCCTTTGGGAATTACTGATAGTTCCATGTCTAAAATGGATTCTTCAATGTATTTCATTTCATCTTCAGGCAGATGAGCACTGGGAGGCAGTGAAACACAACTTGTTAGGGCATGAGAATTGGATGTTCTCTAAATTACCTTCTGGCATTCATTGTAAAATACCTCATTTATTGCCAGACTCATAGATGAATTTCTCTGCAAACAGAAGAGGATTAAATGCATTGCCAAAATCTAAAGCATGTTGGACAAAGGCTCAGCAAATGGTGATGTGGCTTAAGTCTCGGTCTAATTTAGCAGCAGACACTATTTTTTTAATACAATGGTGGAGAATCTTCAGCAATTAATTCTGTCATTCTACTGAGATGAAGCATTCAGTTGCCTCTCTCATAAAGATATCTCAGACATGTTTTTGTCATAATTAGTAGTAGTGGGTGGTAATTTGGCAAGATACGTTCTGTTTGTGTAGCTGTAATGGGTTTTTATGGCTAGAAACATTTGTTTACTAGTTGAATTGTATTGGTGTGAAATGCACTGGGATATGACAAAAATGGAAATTAGGAGGATGCTTTATTAACAGGTTTTAATTTTAGAACTAGCTTTTAAAACCTGAAAAAGTAGTACTGTAAAGAGAACAATGTCAGCCTAAGTATGCATCTTCAAATAATAATCTAAATGACACATAGTTATTATGGAGACTTTTAAAATCAGTTTAATTTCCTTTCTCTTTTAATCACATTTAACTCAGTTCCTGTGAAGCCAGTGGAATTAGGAAGATTGTAGGAAGCAGGCTGTATCTTCCTGTGGCATCTGAATCTTTATTTTGTAAAGTGTCACTTTCATTCTGGAGGCTACTGTTCTTTCTCTGCCCTTGGACTTACTGCCTCCAGCTAATTCATCCTGGTAGTGCTTCATTAGAGGAGTCATCATTGCTTTTGGAAATAGTGCTGTTACAGAAATTAAGGCAGTAAATTAATAAAAGAGACTACTTCCGAGGAAAAGATGTTGTAAACTTCCATGGTGCTACATAGGGATTTTGCAATGCATTTGACTATTTGCAGTTTATGTAAGACTTCCTGAGTGTGTGTGTGTATAGTAGGACTGCAGGAATGCCTAGCACTGTCTTTACTTACATGTATCTCAATTCAAACATGAAAATCCCCAAGATAAATACTTTTATGTCAGTTTTGTTTCTAGTATACAGTGTTTTAGGAAAACCTGCTTCACAGCTAATGGCTAGTTAAAAAGATTGTAATGAGTAATTTGATGTAAAATGCTTTAGTTTATGCTTACATGGGAGGCTGAAAGCCATAAGTATAGTCATCAGAATTTAGGCAGGGTTACTGTGGTATCATCCCTGATTATTTCTAGCTCCTTCCTAAGGTGCCAACAAGGTTTAGTGATATTCTCACTTCACGGAGGCTACCTCATTGTATCTATCTTACTAATTTTGGACCTTTATGTTCCTTGCAGGTGGTAGTTATTGCTTCAGAGGGATTGTGCTGAATTTGAATTTACATGTGCCTTTTTTCAGAGAGCCATAGGATGATTCAGATTGAAGAGAATCTGAGTAAATCTCTAGTCCAGCTTCCTACTCGAAGTGGTGTCAACTATTAGGTCAGATAAAACTGCTGGGGATTTATCCAGACAGGTCTGGAAAGCTTCCTACAACTGTTTGTATCCATGACTTCTCTTCTTTGTTGAAAGGGATAAAAAAACTTCACCTGTCCAGTCATATGTGTCTGATTTCTGATGTATGATTTTGTACCTGAGATTAGAAAAAGACTACTTTTTTGTTTCCATTGCTAAGTATCTTTAATGTTAATATGGGGCAGTGAATGCAGAAAGAAGTCTGCATAGTTGATGTTTCGTACAGAGCTTAACTTAATGTTCTTTGTTCATTTTGCCAAGTTTTTCAGCACTTCAGAAAAATTTGCATTTAAGCAAGGGTGGAAATTAGTGTGCTAACAAAAAGATAGCAAAAGTACATAGTCCAGAATATTTTTCCCTTCAAAAGTACAAAAGTACATAGTCCAGCACATTTTTACCTTAAATACTTGTGAGTTCATTTGGGAGGCATGAGGAGGGGAGTGTCTCTGAATCTGTCTAAAATTTCTAGTGTTTTAATTTGTCTGCTCTTCTTCAAAACAGCAGAGAATAGAACTCATCTGATGAAGTTGGCTGGGCTACTTTAAGACGTGCTTATTGAAAAGAAAAAGAAAAAAAAACCAACTCATTCACATTTCTCTGACTTAGATTAAATGTTAATTCTTGGACCACACATAAGCAAAACTATTAATATGTTCTTTAGGTGCACCATGAAACTTTGGTGCTGTAGTTCAAAACAGCCACTCTGTTCTTTGGGTTAATATAATACTAATATTTTGTAGGGCAGCAATAATCTCTTGGGATATAAGTGGGCAGGCAGCATTAGTTTCCATTGGAGGTTGCTAAAAAAAAAATAATCTGATTGAATGGTTTGGTGTGTTTTCTTCACCAGGACAATCTTTTGAAAATAAATGAAACAGGTAAATATTTGAATTTGAGGTGTAGATGTTTGGAGTGCATAGAGTTTTGGGATCTTCTTGACTTTTTAAATAAAACTTGCAGAAGTTTTATTTAGCTGGAAACCTGCTGATTGGCATGAGACCAGCAGTTTCAAAATTAGACTTCTAGGTACTGGATACAGAAAGACTAAAAGATGTAGTTTTAAATCCCAGATTTGAGAGGGGGCAAAGATTACCTGAAAAAAAATCCTGGCAGAAATTTCATTTAAATGCCTGCAAAATAATGTTGTCAGATATAATCTGCAGAAGTAGATAGTAATCTTGTGAGGACAAAGTTTTCAATCAATTTTTCTTTGATTTGCAATTTGAAAGGTAGGCAAAACTCAGCTTATTTTTTTTTTTTCTGGCTGCATAAGAAACTTGACCCCAGAAAAGAAAAATAGAAGAAATGACATTTGGTTGAGACCAAATGCTCAGTGAAAGACTGACCTTTGTAGTATTCAGAGGCTGTATTGCCTGTGACAGAAAAATAATGGGCAATAATTTTTCAGAATGAATGTTACCTGCTAGGGAAGATTATTGAGTAAAGCAGGGTAGCTCAGTGGAAATGTGCTGGGAGGGAGCCTCCAGGGGTGTCCAGGTTTTGGTTTTTTCAGCTGCTGGCACTGATGTGAAGAAGTTTAAAATGTTCTAATTCTCATTTTGAATGCCCTTTAGTAACTGCTTGCATGTATAGACTTGCCATTATATCTGCCTAATAATGGTCTTTTGAAGAAAAGCTCAGACAGCAAGCACAGTTAAATCTTGCTGTTGAGAACCTATTTTCTTTGCATCAGTAAGGGATAGTTGATAGAGTAATATTACATGCTGGAAGTCAGTCACTGAAACACTAGAAGTACTCATATTACAAGGGAGTAATGTTTTTTAATTAGGTAGAACAAAACTTCGAAGATTAGTTGGCACACAAGTTAGTTTTGCATGGGGAGGAGAACATGCTATCTTAAAACCTACCTCTAGGTGATCTCAGTAAGTCTTAGAGCTAACTTGGCCATTTTCTTCATAGTACACAAAAATAAATGCTACTATTAAAAAGTCTTAATCCATTCCTTATTTTTGAGTCAAGTTAATAATTTTAAGAAGATGTTAAATTTCCACATTTTTGTTAAGTGGAAAGCAGCAGTGGAAAGCCAAATGACATGCATGTGTGTGAAAGTTTAATTTGTCTGTGACCAAATGATTCTTACGGCAGTATTGAGTACATTCACTCTTGCATGTACAAGTTGTGCTACTTGTCAGAGTTAGAAAGTTCTTTGTGCTATATTTTATGATACGTGGGTGAAAAGAGCAATATTGTATACAGAACTGAAAACCATGGACTGGAGGAAGGAAGATGTAGTATTGAACTGTACCTCCAAGTAACTGCTGTATCTCTTGAAATTCTTCTAGGGTTGTTTTGGTATGCCTTGTAATTAATCACTTTGTTTTCTCTGGAGCACTGTGTCCTTCCCATGTTATAGAGTTGCTTCCTGTTGATTATTGGACTTAATTCAGCTGTTAGGATAGACTTTCTTCTGGAAATTCAGCCAATTATTTCGTGCTTCTCAGTACTAGGAGTGGTATTGCTCTGTTGATTTCCATCTTTAAAGTATGTTTTAGCTGGCAAAGAATCTTTCTCAGAACTTGTCTCCATCAGACATAGTCTACAAGCTGCACATAAGCCAAAGCTTGTCACAAAAATTGAAATGTTAGGACTCAGTGTTTCAAATAAATATATTTTAACTTATTTGTATTCATAAAATGTATTAATGTGTTGTAAGGGACTGAAGGTACAAGAGTTTGAATAGAACTGCCTTCAGATTCCTTTCCTTCTAATTAGCCCTTTAAATTGGAAACTAAAAGAATAATGTCATATAACTGTGTTATTAAGAGCATGTCTGTGCTGTGAGTATATAAAATAGCCAAGCTGAAAAAAAAGTATTGCAATATTCAAGATGACAATTGCAATTAGAGCCAATGGGAACTTTGTAATTAAAAAAAAAATCTGGGCCAAACAGCATTCCAGTAATATAAACATCCCCAAATACTAATGCTGGTATGGCTGTGTGCTTCTGATGGTAGATGTCTTTACCTGATGGAGAAAGTGTCATGGTCTTTAGGAGTAAGTATTTATGAGGATATGGAATTTTACATATTGTTAGTACTAAAGATAAAGTAGTGGGGGAGGAGGCAGTGAGGTGAATAACTGAATAAACTGTTAGCTGTGCTAATTAATTTCAAGGTGAGATCAAGGTTGCAGTGAGACCTGTGGGTGGGTAGACCTCTCTGCCAGTCTGAAATTCCACAGAAATTGCTAGCTTTTTAAACTTTCATGTAAAATTAAACTCTTACAATTTTAATAGCTTGAAGTAAGCATAATGACATTGAAAGCAATAAGGTTTGTCTTTTACTGGAAGTGTATTACAAGCATGTAAAAAAGGGGGTTTTATTGTTAATTCCTGAAAGAAACGTTCTGATGTGTGTTTTCAGGGAGCCTTGAATCTGGGTTTGGGTTTCACAGTAGTTCAGTAGCAGATTTGCAATTCCATACTTTTTTTATTTAGGGTTGGTTTATTTTAAGTAAAACTTGAACATGTTCAGGTAACAGAAGAGCTCTTGTTTAACACCTTGCAAGTATTGCTGGTTGGATCTGCCTTTTCTGTGACACAACCTTACTCAAGGTGTGAAAACAGTCTGTACCACTTCACTTAATGCTTTACTGATGTCTTTAACTGGACACCACAGCAGTGAAAGTGAACTTGTGGCTGTAGGCAGAATTTTGGGCAAGAAGTTGGATGTAAGTTGGTCTTTCCAGTAGCTGGCTTTGGATTTATTTTGGCTTGTAGAATAGTCTTTGAGGCAGAAGTTACAAAGAAGGAATTTTTCCAGCACTACCTTCTGTGTCCTGGCTCCCTGTTTAGCCTTCTGTTCTGTAGTTGGACTAATGACCTTGCAGTAAATCAGAATCCTGGGCTGCTTTCAAAGCAGCATGGCCAGCAGGGTGAGGGAGGTGATCCTCCCTCTCCACTCCATGCTGCTGAGGCCCCACCTGGAGCACCATGTCCAACTCTGGGGCCCCCAGCACAGGAAAGGCATGGACGTGTTGGAGCAGGTCTAGAGCAGGACCACAAAAATGATGGGGGGGATGGAACACCCCTCCTATGAGGAGAGATTGAAAAAGCTGGAGTCATTCAACCTGGAGAGGAAAGGACCCTGGGGAGAGCTTATTGTGGGCCTTTCAAGGATATAAAGGGGGCTTACAAAAAAGATGGGTTCAGACCTTTTATCCAGACCTGTAGTGACAGGACACATAATATACTGACCTAAATAAATTATAGTCTGCTTTACAGGCATGAATAAGTTTTATCCCAAAAAAGCATTAATTTTCATCTTTGATTTTTAATACATTAGCATTTTTTATCAGAGCATTTTTATCACAGAAGGTATCAAAACTGTATATTAAACTGCTATATTTGTCCTGTCATCTTGATTTATTGTATTTGTCCACAGATTTATGGTACTGGCTGCATAACAGCTGAAAATCTTATCTTAATGTGGTTCAACCTGGGAACTCGGTGATTATCTCTAAAATTTCAATTTAATTCCTTTAGTTAATTTTATAAAAATACGTAATTTCCCTCAATACACTTCAGAAAATATCCAGGTGCCTGTGAAATTTGTTTGTGCTTAGTGCCCTGCATTTCAGTGTGGTTTATCAGCTTGAGATGGATGCTGCAGTAAGCATGCCTGGATAGTTATTGATTTGGAGCTAGTTTATATCCAGGTGTCCTGGAGCAAACATCTTACTTACAAAATTGCATGTGGGTCTAGCTTTGCTGTCCTTTATGAAACCTTTTTAGTCTCCTACAGTTGTGTACATTGTTTTACGTTTACAAATGTTCCCCTTCTGGATGACATCCATAACAATGTGTTTTGTATTTCAATAAAAGGCATCTTTACGAGTCCTGGTGAAATTTGTTTGCTTTACAATGAGCACTATCTAGAGTAGATGTACAAATTCTATTCATTCCTGATGGTTAGAAGTGAGACCGTTCATCTGGAACTAATAGCAAGGGCTATAAATATAAATAGTAAGTGTTTTGATATGTCAGCTTTGCTTAAGGTACAAAACATTAATTATAAAAGTGTTTTAAATACAGCAAATTACACTGTTAAACTGGGAGCACTTGGAAAATTTAAGTGTTTTTCTTTATAAACAATGTGTGTATGTAAATGTGCAATAAAATACACCACAAGCTTCTCAATTCTTTGAAGTTGAATGATCATACGCAGTCATCCATAAAAAATGCTAAATATGGCTCTTAACTTTCTAAGCTGAATTTTTCTACATGTCTCTTAAAATAAGTGTTTATGTGACAAGGAGTAAATATTTCTTCTTATAAAATTTAGGTCTAGAGCTCCTTCTGGGTGTGGTGCCAGAACTGCTCCGCCTGAAAGATGACTAAGAGCTTCAATGATGAACAAAGTGGACAGATGGAAACACAGTTAACCTATTTCATGTTATCAGTAACCTCCCTGATTATTTGTTACTATGTTACCTTTCCTCAGATTGTTAAACTGGCTGTTTATAGAATGCTTCCAAAAAACCTTCAGAGAAGAACTCTGATGCAGAGGCTACATCTGTTCCCCGAAGATGTGAGTAGCCATGCAGTTACATTTTCATCCATGTGTTACATAGAGGTAAAGAGGGAGTGTTAGCAATAGCACTGATTTCATAAGTAAGTAAATTAAAACAAAAATCAAACTTTTTTTATATATATATTTATATGTAGTTGGGTGTTTTCCATATTATTCCACAGAGATTCAAGACATATGAGATTGGTGTATTTAGGTCAAACACTTAGCATGAAAAATGCAGTACTAATGACAAATACTGGTCTGGCTTTGTGGGCAGGGGTGTTGTTTGTTAAACAGTAAAGTAGTTAAGACTATTCTCACCTGTCTCAGGTTATTCCAGAAGATATAGAGAAGAACCTTCTACAAGAGATTCCTCAGCCACGTGCAGTCCCCAAGAGGTTAGATGAATATACACCAGAAGAAATTGCTGCCTTTCCGAAGGTTTGGATTCCGTAAGTATCTTAGACTTTTTAAGAGGACACATTGACTGAATATGTATTATGTAGGCTCCCACATTATTAGTAAACAAAAGGTAGTCATTCTTCTCTTTATGTAATATTTTTTTGGAGAGACGAGGTCATTAAAGCAAAGAACAATGGTTGCTAAAATTTTCTATTTCTGGTTTGTTTTCTTTTACATAAGGAAAGCTTTACTTAAAATCTTATATTTTCAACTCCTTGCTTCATCAAAATGAATAAAGTAAAAATCTTCATTACCTGATTTGAGTTGGATGTGCTCTATAAGGCATAACTGTTAGCAATAGCCAAAGGAAATGCCACTCAGGTCTGTAAACTTTCAAAAGCTTATTAGAAATCACTTGTACGTAGGTTCCTCACCTTAGATAATACTATAATATGCTTGTACATCTTTCTGTGTAGTAGAAGCACCTCTGTGTTACAGTGTCTGTTAAAGGAAATAGAATCCAGCAAATACCTTGCACCCTCTTCTGAGCTGAACAGGGAGATTGGTTTTGACTTCTTCTAACCCATGTCACTGGTAAAACTTGGTATATTTGATTTTATCCTCAATACTGAATGGAGCTAAAAATTCCTGAGACCTCCTGGTTTCTATGAGATTTCTGTGGATTAGCCTTGAAGAAGTTTAGATTCTGCACCATTGACCAGAATTCTGCAGTACTTTACAGTAAAGCTGATAAGTCTCTCCTGTCGTATGGTGTGCTTTAGTCTTCTGTAAGTGTGATTAATATTAAAACTGATAGAGGTTCTCCACAATAATTCAGCTTGAATGAGGAGCTGGCACTTAGTTTTAACTTACTAATTGGGAATATCTGTATTGTCAAAGTGTTGTGAATTGTGAAATAGTGTTGTGCTGACAGAGCTTTTTAAATTAATTTCTTTGTCCCCACACACTCCCATAGTTCATCTCCTTAGGACTGGGCCACCTTAATTGTGTTGACTTGCAGGTGTGTGTGGCAGGGGACAAATTAACTTGATATCTAATTTAGTCATTGCTGTCAAACTAAGTTCTGTAATATCTTCATGTCAGCGTATTAACTTTGGGGAAAATCTGCAAGATCTGTAAGAGCACTACTGCAGTTAGAATTCCCCTCCCATAAGAATTCCCTCCAAAGGAATTCAAAGCACAGAGAAAATAAGCATCCTCTTTTTTTTAATCTTTCTCTCCTCTGCACTCTTATCTGGATTGATTGCTGGTAACTGCTCTGTATGCAGTCTTCCTACTCTTTGCCAGTTATGGGGGCTGGGGAGTGCAGCCTTAGAATCCTATAGCAGTTTTGGAGGCTCTCAGCTCAGAGGATCATAGTGCTTCTCCTGTGGAAGAGCTAGGGAGCTCAAGTGGGCATTATGGTGAGAAAAAACAGGGAATAGGTGGGCCTGAGAGGAACAGAATACTGGGTCTAAAATGAGTGACAGAATGTTAGAGAGAAGTGGAGCTAGTGGTCTCTGGGTGGGGTAGGGAAAAAGAAATGGGAGTTTGGGAGAATTTTAATGCTCTGAGTGTAGAGACTGGGGCAGAAGTTTCCCTTCAACCACCTACTCCATCTAGAGCCACATTTAAAGGCTTGGAGACACACCTAACCCTTGCTGTGTTAGACTTTTGTCCCACCTGCTTTTATGCTCTCAGGAGGTGGTAAGATCTAGCAGAGGGAGAAGAATGAAGATGGTTATCTTCCATCTCTGCACTAACTGGAGGGCTCATTGCTGTTGCAATTTCGGCTTCTTGTCCTGGCCTGCAACCAGACCATTGTTGGTGTCAGATAGATTTTAATTTAACCTTCAGCTCACCTTTTTACCAGTTTTTATCTCGGAAGAGTTTCCAATATGAAGTAATGGGGAAAATAGTGATAAAAAATAATGTGATAAAAAAAACAGTTTTTCCTGTCTGAATGAGAAAATGTATTTTGATTATGTGGCATTCAGATTTCAGGGCTGGGGGGAAAGAGGGCTTAGTTAGCAAATAAAAGATGAAGAATTCAGCAAATTTGGTAAAATATCTTCCTGATGTGATAAGTAAAATACTGAGGTGTATAAAAGGGGACTTAAAATGAACCATAGCCATGTGTCCACACTGTTCTGATTAAAATGCCAGCTGGAGAGTCTGAGAATAGATAGCTTTGCACCAAACACATTAAAATAAAGGGTGTATGAATATACAGAGGTAATAGCATCTCTGTTCTGAGTTTTTTCCGTGTGTGAACCTATGGAATAATAATAACCCATGCCAACCCATGTTGGCATTGTTACAATATTCCTGTGAAAAAGGAGAAGGAACAAAAATATAAGTATTTAAATATTCTTCTTTTTAGAGGCATATACCACAAATATTCTTTTAAAAAGAAATCAGAAAATGGACAGCTTTGTTCAAAAAACCAAAGAAGTTAGATTAAAATATTGTGTAAATCTGATCATTTAAGATGTACTGAGAACGGTACTATGTGACATGAAAATTACTTCAGAAGAGAAAACGTAAAGGGAACATGAGTTGTTTTGTAGAAATCCAAATATTGCAGAGATATACAAGCATCTTGGAATGCCAAACTGACTTTCTGTTTGGGTTCCTTGTCATTTCAGTCTTTTCAGCTGACAGGCTGTCCAGGGAGGTTGTGGAATCTCCAGCCCTGGAGATGCTTAGAACTCACTGTACAGCTCCTGAGCAACCTGATGTAATGTTGAAGTTAATTCCTCTTTCAGTGTAGTTCTTCTGGATGCAAATTACTCTCTGGTTCTTTATAAATGGGGAAAGTAAACAAACATAGTAAAATAGATTGATATTTTAATAAACTGTGTTTAAAAAACACAGTGCTAATCTTATTAGTCCGGTTTCGCTTTTGCTGGGACTGTTGTTTGTTACACTGTATTAGGATCTTAGAAATCTGGGTGAGAACACACCATGCTAAAATGAGTGGCCTCTTCTTGTCCCCCAAGTTCTACATTTGGGATGTAAAAAGCCTTATTGTGGACTTGGATCTGTGAGCTTTTGCAGAACCCATCAATAGCTTCCATGCACTATGAGCAGTCCTTACTGAAGGAAGGAAAGAAGATGAAGGACGCAGAAAAGCTTTAAACTCTTTTTTTTTTTTTTCTTCTTCATATGGTTTTAGTAATTCTTCCTGCCTTATGTGACTTTTGGCTTTAATTATTATTTATCTTCCATGAAGTTTTGAGGCTGGTGACCAACCTATTTACCAAAGAGTAGATGTTCAAAATGGAATGAAATATCTCTGAGAGTGATTAGAAAAGGGAGAAGTGAGAGGGAGACAGTGTTAGTGGTTCAGCTTCTTTCTACAGAAAAAAAAATAGTTGATACCCTTTAAGATACCTGTATGCTTTAAGGGAAAAAATCAAATGAAAAGCACCTTAATTAAAGGTATGTAAGTCTATAAATACAGATAAACACAATTATGAGTAGAAAATTAATCTTTGAGGTTTTACATTAAAACTTATACTCTTAAAATGTACCTTACTGACATAAGACATAAGATAGATAATAGGGTATGAATGTAAATAGCTGAATTTATATCAGAAATTACTAATATCAGGAGGAAGATAACCTTTTCCTCTTTAATTGGAAATAATAATGTAAATTTTCATTTGGAATGTGAAGAACTTGCTCAGTGCTGCTAATGTTACTGGACCTTTTGGCTGTATTTTGTGTTAAAATGTCTTGCTATAGAGGGTTCTTTAAAGGCTCTTTTGCTGGTAGTTGGAGACTGACCCACCACAAAGACACGATATGCAAGTGGGACACTAAAATAGGGACATAGTTTTAAGGAAAGCACAGGTGTGGAAACACAGAAAATAGTTTGGTTTTCAGAGTGGTGAGCCTTCCCATCACCTCTCCTACCATGACAGGACATCAAGAGGTATCCTGCTCCATGAAAGTAGAGAATTAAAAGTCAGAATATTCCTAGTCAGAGAAGCTTTCCACAAGCATTCTTTCCTTTATTCCTAATCAGAGCCAACTGACTTTCCAGCTTGTCTAGAGGCTCTGACTTAGATCCTCCATGGAGAGGTCTGAAGTAAGTGGGGAAAACCATGTAGATACAGGAAAGTAAATTATGTCTGATCCAGACATACTTCAAGGTCAAAAAGATCAAAAACAAGTTCCTTTGACAGAGTTTGATCTTGTACTGTGAATGAAACCTTTATTTCAAGTGTGTTTGAAATTTCAGATTGTATGTCTTTTAAATGAGTTTAAACAGGAATCATCACAGAATTCACCAGTTACGTATGACTAAGCAAACAATTCAGTTCCATGAAAGCAAGGATACATCAGATTAATGGGCAAATTTTCCTGTTATATACCATTTGAAAGTTGTTTAATTGTCTAGGTATAAATGTGTTTTAAGACAATTTTAAAGGCAGGAAATTGTTTTTCAAGAAGTATTTAAATGTTACCAAATACATGGAATAGCAGCTCTGTGTTGTTCCAGTGAGAAGGATGCATTCCTGGGAGTTTCCCTTAAGAAAGCAGAGCTGTCTAATTGCATAAAGTGTGCTCAGGCTGGTGCTGGTTTGCAGACTGAGTGCCTGGTCCAGTGCCAGACCTCCTAGGAGCTCCCCTTGGGCCAGACAGCTGCTTGCTTGTCCTTGGGGGAACAAGTTCTTCTACACTTCCGAAGTTTTGAAAACTCGGTATATTGTAAACTCTGCAATTTGGTTTTTGAAAACCAAACACCTTCTTAATGTTAATATTTCTGAGTAACTTTCCTGATTTTTGCCCCCATCTATACATCCTGCTTTAAGGCAGGGCTTTGCAGAGCCTGGTCTGAAGCCATGATTGTGTTCCAGCCAAGCAGCATGGGTTAGGCAGGGTCCCAGTACTGACGCTGCTTGTCATCTCCATGCCACGGCATGCAACTGGAAGTTCGTCAGCAATTCTCTGTGGCTTTGAAAGCAGAAAATCACAATGTTCTCAGGCAGAAATTTGTAGGTGATGAAACATAAGCATATTGGATGCCTGTGAACTTCAG